TTTTGTTTCACGTCTGAATGAATCGATGAAAAATGATATTCTTTTTGCTGCTTTTATCCAAGGAAGAGTGTCATTTTCCGTCAATTTATTTTAAATTTAACTTTTAGAAATTTAAATTTGTAAAACTTTATTTTTTTAAAGTTTAAGTACCCAATTAAAATGAATTTAATTCCATATAAATTGAATTAAAAATTTTAAAAAGATTAAATTTCGTAAATTTAAATTCAAAAGAACTGTAATCTTAATTTTGCAAAATTTGCAAAGTTTTTGTTGAATTGAATGTTTTTTTGTAAATGTAAATCCATGATCAGTAAATCCAAGTGCAATCATAACTACAAAAATATTTTTCTGTAATTCGAACCTCTTTTATCAACAAGCCGCACTTACATACATCGATAGTGTACGAACGAAAGTGATATTCTAGTCATGTTTCGGAGAGTATATAATCAGTTACTATAACGCAGTCCATACATAAATTATCAATAATTATTATTATAAATCGTAAATTATCCGAAAAGACTTTTTTCACACAACAACATTGAGCTGTCCTACGGATTATTTTTGCATCAGTCTTTACTGAATTTCTTCAAATTCTTCAACATTTTACAGAATTCTAGATTCAATGCTACGAAATGCATTTTCTTTGAATGAAAACGTAGTGAAATGAGTTTTCTAACAGAAGATAACTGTAGAATACACTCTGATGTTCAATACTAGCCTAACTTTGAAACAGTCTTAAAAAACGACGTAATTCGTTGAAGTTTTAGAAGACCTTAATTCCGACCTTGGCTAAGGAAGACCTGCGCCGCCATCTTGAGGGTCAAAAACAATGCAATCAGCAAATTCTTTGTAAAACCATTTCGCATAATTTCCAAAATCATATCAGAGTTGACTTTTCTTAACTCACATGCTTTTTGAAGATGAATTGGTTCGAGATGCTCTAACAAAAGAGATCAGTTTTGCATCATTCGAAGCGTAACCGATGCAAATGCATTTTAAAAGAACCTGTTTCGCATTTTCTCCGAGTTGTGACTCTCTACAATACTTTTCTTGTCAACTTAATGAGTTTAACAGCGTTTCATTTGGGAAACGCTTCGAAACGTAATCGCAAAAAGAAGCGTTTTAGATCGTTTCAAAAACTCAAGGCAGCAAAACGCGTTCTATATAAGTAAAAATACTGTGAAACGCATTCCGTCTCGAAGAAACGCTGCGAAACGCATGCCCCAATCTTGGAAACGCGTTTCCATAGTGCGTTTCCTTAGATATTTTACGCCATGGGATTGACATGGCGATAAGAAACAGCAAAACAGTTTACAAATATATGAATGAATCAATTAATGTTCTTCTGAAAATGTCTTGGTAGATCGTTTTCATCTTAATAAATGACAAAATTGATGGCTGCATAATTTATAAGCTCTTCAATTTCCTTTCTTGAAACATCATTATGCATATTATATAAGAATAATTAGTAACTGAGTTAATGAATATTAATTTGAGACGTTTCATTTTATATGTATCTTGAGAACTATCGCATTACGAAATTCGTTCTATTGTTTATCTTAAATTTGAAACTTTTTGTTTCGTTTAACTCGCACATGTAACGACAAAGTTGACATTGTTTAATATACATTTTATTAAAGCAGAAAAAAATGAAATATTTTTTTCTTCGACAAGAAAGAAGATTACTTTCTCTTTGTGTCCAAATAATCTTTCGTCATTCTATTAAAAATCTTATAACAAAATCACAGATTGATCTTTTTTCTCATTACTTGCCTATATAAAAAGTAAACGAAAAACATGTATGTCAAATAACATTCATTGAATTCAAAGCAACACACTTTTTTTCAGATCTCTCAACATAAACAGTGTTGATAAATAACTAATGTGCAGATATGTAGGAAGTGAAGGATTCATAGCGTTTATTAGTTAGATATAAGAACTTCTTGCAATATTTCGCAATATATCTTTAGAATAAAGTGTCAACTTCTTTTTTTCGAAATTGAATTTTTTTTATTAATAATTTCATTTAAACTCTATCAATAGACAATGAAAAACAAAACTTATCAGTACAGGATCTTAAGAGTAACAAATGCAAAAATAGTATACTTGGTTTTTTTTTTCAAATAATAATCATAAATTATAAGTTTAAATAATATAAAACATTTTTCCATACCAGTATGATTTATTGTTTCTCATAATACAAATGCTCTTTTGAGATTTCAATATCATTCGAAAAGTTAATTTTCCATTCACAAATATCATGGCATGAATATGTCCAGAATACAAATGCTGACTGATTAAAAAAGGTTCAACAATGTTTGTAGGAACTATTTGAAAGACAAATGTATTTATCATCTCTCAAACCTTAATAGATAATGTTCTTTGATTCATAGTATTAATTCACTTTAGATGAAACTAGGCCTTTTTCAAAATTTGTTTTCAATTACAGGAAGTCAATGCATTTGTGTTCGTGATATTTTTAGTGATAACCATTGATTAAGTTGAATAATATGACAAAATTTGACAGCAAAAGTGCAACGAAACTACCACTGGATTTTATCGAGCGTAAGGCTATTAATTCAGCCGAATGTCTCAGTTCTCTCTATGATGGTGTTCGAGATCATGTAATCCATCAAACAAAGCCAAACTGCCAAGAACAGTGGTTACAGTCATCTGAGCTAGTAGAGTGTTAAATTATACACGGCATTATGGACTCAAACTTCAATGTTCTTCAATGTGTTGGTATTCAGCAGAAATTACAATTAAGTTTATTGTTAAACTTAACTAAAAAAATCTAAAAGGATGTGGGTGTGGGTGTACGTGTGTTGGTGGATGCGAGTTTGGGAGACATGAAGACCCACGTCCGCACTCATATCCATCCTCTTTCTAATCTTCAATATTATCTAGTAGACGGTGCTCATAGGAGACATTGATACGCACGCATGTTTCTCAGAAATGTTGAGTTTCACTCAAGAAAGCATCAGATACATTAATAGAAAAAATAACAAGAATTACAGAAAATTTGTCTAATGAAAGTGCTTTGTATGTCAATGTACATCTCTTATTTGAAAGATCAGAACAGAAAGACTTAGGTGAGAATATGGTGAATTGAAACCGAATAGTAAGATGATATAATTGAGTGTATCCACCAGAATCATTTACAAAGTATTTGATTTCGTTGACATTTCTACTTGTCCTATTTTTGTTTTCTTGTGGTGTCAAGGCCTTTTTCTATCGGTACTAATTATTTCATCATATGCAAACCGTTCTACTGCATCTTCCTTAGTGAATTCTTTACCGAAAATTCTAAAAATTTCGATAAAGATAAATCGTAGACAGGACAGCAAAAGTTGAAGTTTATTTGACATTTTCAATTGCTTCAACATAGCCTAGCAAAAGATGTAAGTATAAATCAGCAGAAGGATTCTCTGTACATCGACTATAATTCGAGTTTTGCTGTACTGACTGCGATATATCTGTCCTGAGATCTTTAACATCTTCGACAAAAAATTTATTGAGAAACATGCAATAGAATGATGTAAATATGATAAAATAATTAACCTTTTACCCCCCTGTAGAGGTTCCAGAAGAGCCATTGATAAAATGATCACACAAATAGAGTACTGGTCTCCCCAATATACCAATAGGGATCTCGAATGATTCGCACGGAGTTCCTGAGGGTTCAGTGTGATTGTGAGATGTAAGAATGCGATTGTGGATGTAAGCGTGGATATAGGTGAAGGTGTGATGAGGCGGATAGGATCCGCTTTGTTTCCGAACCGTCATTCCTCGTTCTGTGCGCAAGTTTCATTGTGCGAATCATTCATATATCCAAGTGTTTTTCCGACTACTAATGTGATAAGACTCACAAAAAATATATCCGTGATTGCTGGTGGGCCAACCTACGGTCCAAAAATAAAAGTTTGTCCACGTAATCTTCGAACTCCTATTGCTGTTCAAACATTACGTGTACACAAGATGTGCCAATTACCACACCTCGTTCTATGAGCCGGCTGCTTTATCCACCAAGCTATTGAGAAGTTTGCGAAATGCATTTAATTCACGAGTAGATATTTCCATTGATATATATCACACTTCGCATTTCCCAGATATATTTTGTCTGTAGGTAAAAAAAGAATCCTAAAAAAAATTTCAATTTTTTTGATTTTGTACGTCATATATTTTGGAGACGGAGCAATGAAAAAAAAGTCTTTTTTTTACCAATCGATAGTTCATGGAGTTTATTACAAAAAAAAATGTTTTTAAAGTTTTCGTATTCCATGTTTCATTTATTTTCTGCAATGGTTCTAGAAATAGGTCAAAAATGACCCAACAGAGGATAAAGGGTTGTTATAGATAAACGAACAGAAAAAGACTTTTGTAAGAAAAAAAATATGTTTTTCTACCAGTAAAACGTATTGTAAAAACCTGCTTTGTTCAACAGCTTGCCTGCGTTTTTGGTGAAAACGACAACGTGTTTAAGCGCAGATTTTTGCAAATTTCTTTTTCTTTTTTTTTTTGATGATTGGTTTCAAATAACTAATCCAGTCATCTTGAAACCTACTATTTAAATATTGTATTTACTGTAATATAAGCCTTTATAAATTATCAATATTTTTTTTTTCTTGTGTAAAGAAAGATTTATACTCTTACTAATCTTCATCTCTAAGATGTATGTACATTTTTTGATAACTAGTTTTATCGGCTTAGTTTATTGCGACACTCTTGTTCTTTTCTACATTACATTCACTCTCTCACTTATATTTATTTATCCATGAATAATGGCAGTGATGCTAAGAAAAGCTTCTTATCTGATGAGTGGGTTATACCATTAAATACTTTTTAGATAAATATTTATTAACTGCTACGAGAGAAAAAGACGAGAGTATAAAAAGACGAACAATTTCTGTTGAATTACAATTAATCAGGGTAAGATTTACTGATACGGTATACTTCTGGTAAGTTTGATATACGTATATTGCAAAAAACAAAAACGAACTATGAAGACAATTATTTTTTTCATTATTGGTGCATTACTTTTCATCGTTTCAACTTCGGATGCTAAACGTTTATTTTATGATAATGATAATGATATGGAATTATCGGATAAAAAAGCTCGAATGTTTCTTCGTTCAATGTTGAATGATGATAGTGATGATGATGCAGGATCACTTGATACTCGTGAAAGTGGCAAGAAATGTGTTCCATGTAAATTTGGTATTAATCCTTGTTGTGCACCGAATGTTTGCATTAAGAAACGATTCCGTCCAGATGAATGTATGGAAATTAAAACAGGCAAATAAAATGATTTATCAAAAAAAAAAACAGAACTCATTTTACTTTTAATTTAGCCACGCAATTAGAATTCATTGCTTTTTCTTCTCGATATTTTGTAAAGAATAATAAAAAAAAACTGTCTTGTTTATTTCTCATTTAAATAAAGAAGAGCTTTTTTTTGCTTTTACAAATGATATAAATATTTAAATTCATAAGCCTTAAATATATCCAATTATATTAGCTTCGGCATATTGAACTGAATTTCCAGTACCACGTTTTGAAGTAATAAGAAGTCGATAACTTCTAAAGGCAATTGTATTCGAGAAACTTTGTTGAGAAACATATTTTTGACGACCGGGATCAGTTGATGCACTAATACCTGTTGAACCGCTGTAAATCAATGTCCAACTTGTTCCAGTATTGAGAGCTGCAGTAGTTGTTACATTTGTTCCTTCAAGAGTTACTGTTATTGGATCACGATTAAGATCGTCATTTGCAGTCGCAAAATGAAGACCAACACTAACAGTTGCATTACTTATAGTAGGTGTAACATAAAATCCAGTATTTAATCCAGCAGGACTTGAACCAGAACAACCAGTTGATGAATCTCCATAATTGAGATATTTTGTGTTTAATGAACCGTCGATAGCATCCGCTGGAATTTCAGTGCTTGGATAATTCAAGTTGGATCCACCCGTAGATCCACCCGCTACTGTATGACAAATGCCAACAATTGGATCACCTGCTCGTGTTATGTTCACGAGAGAATGTGTAGTGGTCGTGGTAACTTTAAATTTATATGAATAAAAATAAATAAATATATATATATATATATGTATATAAAGGAATCTTAGAGAGTTTCTTATCAATATTTTTAATAGAAAGGTGATGACATCAATTAGTATCATTCTCTGCCAGTAACAATAGATGAAAAGATAAGATAATATTCTTCTATAAGTTTTTCTAAAATCATTTTACAAAATTTAATTGAAACTCAATTAATAAATCTTCATTGCTGCAACACTTGCTCTGGTGATATTGAGACAGCGGAAGGGGAGCGATAGTGAAGATGATTGCGAAGGAAGTATCATGATGGAGACTTAGATGAGGGCAAAGGAGAGGATAAGGAAAAGGAAGAGATCTATGTATAACTTAAGTACTTTTCTGATAAATTTTTGATTGTTATTAGTTCTAATTAAGAGCCTTAGGAAAGAAAATGTTGCGGGAGCAACTATCGTTGGGAAGCAGATGTAGTGAAAGCATTTGCACGGAAAGCAATAGTCATAGATTTGTAAATATTTGATATTATTCTTTCTTATTTATGAATTCATACAATCAATGGAATAGATCATCAAAATGAGTAAAAAAAACTATTTCTCAATTTAGTTAATTATTCTAGTTAAGGTTTTCAAGAGTATCAACAATCATCTATGAATGTTAAAATAATCGTTTTTATCGTCGAAAAGCTTTCGAAAAATTGAAATACTCAGTATATCACTATAAAGATCTTACCGGTTGTAGTTGTTGTCGTTGTTACTGTTGTTGTCGTTGTCGTTGTCGTAGTTGTTGTTGTTGTTGTTGTTGCTGTTGTTGTTGTTGTTGTTGTTGTCGTTGTTGTTGTTGTCGTTGTTGCTGTTGTTGTTGTTGTTGTTGTTGTCGTTGTTGTTGTTGTCGTTGTTGTTGCTGTTGTCGTTGTTGTTGTTGTTCTGGTTGTTGTAGTTGCTATATGTAAATGTTCAAATTTATCTTAAAAAGTTTCTGTCTAAATATTAAATGAAATTTTGATGCTATAATTTTATTTCCTTGAGATTTACAAGGAAATTTATTCTAATTATAATTGTAAGATAGATCATAAGATTTGATTGATGAAAAGATTACTTTCTAAGTTGAAAACAAAATAAATAAAATATTACTTGTTGTAGTGCTGGTTGTGGCTGTTTTTATATTAATTAGTAAATAAATACCAATTGTCAAAGCAATTAAAACGGTCATACAAATCAATATTCCACAATAGATAATCCATAGTTTTCTTCCCGATACTCTGCAATAAAGAAAACACATTATTAAAAAACAGCGAATCAATATTATTAATATGTATGAAATTTTTTTGGAACATCTCGTTTAATTTATGAGTAACGAAATCCTGTTAAGTAAATGATAGATAGCTTAATATCTTCTTTTCTTTTCCTTCATAGATCATTCTCGCTATAAAAACTCATATTTTATAATGGCACATGAAATGATATCTGAGGATCTTCATCTCACTTGAAACGGCGTCGTGATCGTAATTTCGTATTATTGGGTATCGTTGATAATTTCATATTACTGGGTGCTGATGATAATTTAATATTATTGGGTTTCGATGATAATTCAGTATTACTGGGTGCCGATGATAATTCAATATCACTGGGTGCTGATGATAATTTAATATCATTGGATATCGGTGACATAACGGAGAATAATTGATTCATTTGAATTTGATCGTATGGCAATGGTACATTCGTGGATAATAAGGTCTGAAAACCCTTACGATGCTTTTTGTTTGATTTTGAGTGAGCAATTGCATGAGCTTCTTTATTATTAGCAGGTTTGACCTGTGAAAAAAAATTTTGATTTCTGATACATGTTCATTGAGTAGTAAATTTTTTTTTTGATATAGTCATACCTTAATTGATCGCTTTGGCCTTATTAAAACTGATACAGTACTAGATTTGAATGTTTTCATAATTAATAAATTCGAAAATGTACACTTGTAAAAGACGAATTGAGTGAGATTGAATATCTTTTTATAATAAATACTAAAAGAAACATAGTTCTCCTATAAATAAATATTGCAGAATTTGTTAGCCTATCAATAAAGCAACTTTTGTTTTCTTGATACCTGAAATGAAATTGAGATAAAATTTTTTAAAACACAAATAATAGAATTTTTTTCTTTGATACCCTATATATTCGATTTAATTATATTATTTTTTTTAATATTATAATGCAGAATAGAATTTAAAACAAGCAAAATTCAATTACTGAAGAATATAATTTACTTTTCCTTTCATTTCAATAAAATAATCTTGAGACGAGCAATCTCTCGTCTCAAGAAACATACTCTATAAACTTCTTATAATTCAATCAATATCTTTTTTTTGTCACTGAGAACGTATTACATGAAGAAATATGAATTTCGAATTGCATTACAGTAATAAAAAAAACATTTTGATCTTGGAGAAGTTTCAAGTAGATCATGAAAAAATAAATAAATAAAATCACAAGTGCTTGACATAAGCAGAACGAAAGATGTGATTATATATCAACACGACTTTCTTGCTTAAGAAGTTCATGTACATGAAAAGGAAAGTTCAGCTAGGATTCCGTAATCAAACAGATAGTAGTCGATGTTGAACGTTATTGATTGAATGCTTTTCACTAGAAACATGTATATGAAAATGTTTATTTGCATCCGCTGTACTCATACTAAAGACCACGGAAGGTTAAAATATCGGCAGTTGATGATATCGTGACTTATTCTTTCTTTTTTTTATATAATATATATCATTAAATATTAGTATCATTCATATCTATTCTGATTTATCTGATGTTCAATGTTCTCTTTTCTGTCAAATAAATCAGCATACCATATTTCAATGATAAAATATCAAAAAATGAATTGATTCTATTTTTGTATCATAATAACTTTTAAAATAGACAATAGAGAATTGTTTCATTTCATTTACATCGTAATTGAGTTTTTCTCTTTATTTCTTTCTTTTACAATACATTTACATACATTTTTCTTCGTATGTAATATTATGAATATTCTCTTTCGTTCGTTTTCTTGTTTCTAAATTGCCAAACAAATAAAAGAAGATTTTTTTTTATTGTTCTTTTCATATATTATATTCGCTCATTCTCTCTTCTTATAGAAGTTTGTTTGTGTTCTAATCTCGCTTGTTGAGCAATTGAGAATATTTAGTACTCGAAAGAAACAGGTTTCTCACATATCACTGTGTAGTTTTAGTACACTTATATTTCTTGCACAATTACATATGCATATGTACAAGTGGATAGACTTATCCGTGAATATGATAATATCCAAATCGAATTATATTTTTAATATTTTTGATAGAAAGTCGTTCAAAATGAGGAGAATCAGAAGAGAACAGCACACTCAGCCTCTTCTTGGAAGTTCTTTAAAGCTAACGAAGTGTGTCTGATCTTAGTAAATTGGAAATGACGATATAATGGAAGATGGGCCACTACTTGTAAATTTAATATATATAAATGGGATCATTTTTCACCTTTAGTGTTGAACAAAGAAAATGAAAGAAGTATTGTGGTCTAAACTATCTTTGTTTTAAATTCTATTACGAAGTAATTTGGCTCACCAGTTTAAACCAAAGCAAACGTAGAATAATAAGGGAGAGAGAGAGAAAGAGAGAAAGCACAGCCAACGTATGAATGACTATTGTTATTCAGTCAAAAAAAAAAGGAATAGTTGGGGTGTGGGTATTTCTTCCTGAGTCCCACTCAATCTTACTCGGGACTACTTGAGTCAGTGTAGGGCTCAGATCTCGAAATTTCCTGTTTACTGGGTTTGAGTGCGGGTTGTGGTGGAAGGTGAGGATTAGAGTCTGTCGGCTACAAAACTTTTGGACATACAACTTATTGAACGTTTTTCAAGCCCTGCTCCGACTCAGAGGGTGTGGGTATGGCTGTGATTTAGGAGAAAACATTCACATCCACACCTGCGACTCAGGACCACACTCTACGTAAGTGTCGGTATGATAATGTCACGCGTGAAAATACCTCTGCGCGGAAGTGTTGTGTCTGGAACTGTCGGTGAACCAATTGACATAATACTTTATAGGTAGAAATTAAAGTCTCTTTTTACAGTACAGCAGTATGTGTAGATAGAGTTTGTTTTCTTCAATCTATTTCTATTTTTCATTTTGATTCGTGTCGTTTAATGGTGGAATTTTAATTAGAAATTATCTAAGATCGAAAAATAATGAGTAGAGACTAGTAGTAAACTTTCTCTGCGTGGAAATACATGATTGAATAAAAATAAACAGTCAAAAAATTATTGGATTCCGAAGAAAGATAAATCTCACTCGGTTGATCTATTTAAGATTAAAATATTTAATTATTCCAATATTTTTGATTACAGAAAAAAGCAAACTAGCAGGTCAAAATTATCCTATCGACTAGTTGTTTGCTATCGAGTACTCAAAAATCATTGTGTTTTCACAAAAGCTTGAAGATTAAGAAAAACTAAAAAAGTTAACAATCTATTATGATTATTTTTTTTTTTATCAAGAACGTATAAATATTTCTATTATGGGTCTAGATCTAGATTATAAATATTTTTATTTATACCTTGATAGTATGTAGAAATTTCTCCAAAGATACCACTAAATAAAAGTAGAGAATCACTCGAAGCCGTCTTTCCGATAGGTCTTTTCTCTTTGAGTGGTCGAAATCTGTTCGAGAAATCGATAGCGAAGGAGCGGTAGGAGAATATTTCTATGAATTTGATATTCAATGACTATCGAGAGGATGGAAATTCGAACAGAACAGGAAAAAAAGATTCTTTTTTTTTCAATTTTTGATCATTACGTCACTCCCATCGTTGACTGTTGAAGGTCTACTTGGGTATTGACAATGTCTTTTGGCAGTTTTATGTTCATAATGAACAGAAGATGTTGACTGCGATGTGTTTCAGTATAGATAAACAAGGAACTTGATAGTAGATACATTAATGTCTAATGATCTTTCCTATGATAGAATATGAAAGACGATAGTATTTGTGATAATCTTGAAGATCTAATTTTCTCATAATTATTCATCTTTGGATGAGGACGATGTAAAACATACTGGATGACCCTGTTTATTTTAATTTACTAATGTATAATAAAACAAAAAAAGAATTGTCTAAGAACGACGGCAATACTTTATACTGCACAATAATGAATGAATATTTCTATTGTGTGTTGACAAGCTTCATTCAATTTTATCAACAACTAAAAAATCAAATCTCTGATACATTGATTCATTGAATAGAATTTATCAATGTGCATACCAGAGGTAGTTACTTTAGTTTTGAATAACAGAATCCATGTACAGATGACAAATATTTCCATTGAATATTGTTAAGAAATAAATTTGTATGTTTCATTTTTTTTTCCTGGAAAACATAATTAGATGTTATAGAAGGTTTTCATCTATCAACTAACATTCAAACGATATTTTTTGTGAACTTCTAAAATTTGTAGCAAATAGTTCTAACAATGAAAATGTTAGATAACGTTTTGAAAACTTCAGAAAAATAAAAATTCTATGAAATCAATCTTAAAATAGAACATGGCATAACATTTACATATAAATTAAGCAGTAAAAACAAACCTTCCATAAAAATAAGCTACATCTAATCTTATTAAAAATATGCAAGCAAAATTTATGTCACCAATATGAATAAACAAATTCAACATGACTAAAATAGAATATTAATTAATCTAGAAAAAGAAGATTAATGAAGATAAATTAACATAAAGTGTGATCGAAAAGTTTTTCTACAAGATATTTGTTCACTTTTGATCTACCCGAAACTATCAAAATCTATGAGTTAATATCAGAACTTTGTAGCCTTGTCGAATATGACTTTAGAAATATTGTTTGAGAAAATTTTTTTGTATTTTCACTGTTGCAATTCAAAACTAAAAAGTTAAGATCTTCATTTATATATTAACTTGTAGACCAGAAACTACTCTACAAAATACATTATTTCAAGTTTTTGTTTTGTCTTTCGTAAAGACACCATATTTTTGAAAAATCGACAACTGTTTTACGGTGAAAGGAACTCTTGAAACAATTCCTGGAATCTCATTCAGATAACAACTACAGCTTAGTCCAATATCACATTTTGTAGAGAAATGTCAAAAACATCTCGATTGTTATTATCTATCAATTAAGACAAACTCTAGTTTTCAAATTATAAAATTGAATTTCTCATATTTACAAATATAAAAAACAAATATCTGTCATGTATTCGTTACCTTTAGTTAATCATATATATTTCATTGTTTTATTTACCGACGAAACAACATTCATTTATTTATGTGTTAAGAAGCTAAAGCAATAGTATTAACAACAACATTTAAGTCTATATTGTTTCTTGCTGGTTGCAAGTCTTTATTTTCTTCTTCTTGTAGTATTGTTATATCTTTGCCACATATCTTATAAACAAATCGTTTCAGTTCCTGCCGAAATGCTTTTGATAAACAGACAAATATGAAGAAACTTGTACAGTATGGAATATAGTGAAGAAAACCACCAAACTTGTTCAAAAAGTTGTTCACAGCTTGAACAAAAGAATTTTGATTTCCATATCCTATTGTTGTACTATAGACTAGACCCACAACTAATACGATAGTACAAATGATATATATAATATTATGAACATATAAGCAACGAAGTAATTGAAAATCTTTTTTATTCATTGATCGAATTTGTTTACGTTGTTGACGTGGTATTATTTGAATATGACGAACATTATTAAAAGCAATAATTGATAAAATTATTAAGGCAAGAGATAAAACAACACTAATTATTAATGTCGAATATATGAAAAAATTCAAATAAAATTTTGAAAAATCATAATAACATACAAATAGAGTAGAAGTAAACTGCTGAATATTAACTTTAATAAGTACATGTACAGAGAACATACTCAAGACAAATAAACTTGTAGATATAAAGAAATAAGCTAAACGTTTTGAACTATACAAACGTGTATCAACATTTTGTGAAGATATTAATAAACGATCAATTGAAGCACAAATAAGAATACATGGTAAATATGTTGAACAAAGATAGGCTATATAATAGAAAATTTTACATAAAATTACATTAGAATTTAGTACATTAATATTAAAACCGATTATAAGTATAGATCCAAGTACAGCTGAATTAAGAAAAACAGTATTATTAAGAAGAAAAACAGTAAAATAGAAAACACAAACATTTTTTTTCCAAGATTTTTTAAAAAATATTAAAATACTTAACAAATTTCCAATATTACCTATGATAAAAAGAATAGTAGCTATATATTGATGAAGATAGATTGGAATCTTTGTTAGAACTTCAATATAGTAATTCTCAGAAGAAGACATCTATAAATGAAAACATTATCAAATGATCTCTTTTGCTCACATCATTAATTTTTGATACCAAAAAAAAAACATTTCAGTAAGAGTCTTAAAATAATACTAACATAATCTCATTATTAAGAATATCATACTTGTATAAAATTTAAAAAAAGACACGATTATTGTTAAGCAATCTTCTTTGGATTAATTAATGAAACGATTTTTTTTTCTTAGTACTGTTTTGCTGATTTTCTTAAATAGTTTTATAATTAATGGTCGAATAAGTTTCATAAGAAAACGATAATTTTAGTAAGGAACAAACTGTGACTTATTTCGTATGTTAACAAAATCTTGAGAATTTCAAATCTTAATTTTTGTTTAGTTAAGCAGAATAAAATATTTTTAAGAAAAATCAAAAAAACCATACAATGAAATTTTTGCTTTGAAAAAATATATTTACGATTACTCATAATTACGGGTAATTTCAATGATGATCACATAGCAGAGATCGTTGAAATTATGACTCAGTTTCACTGAGTAACCTTCTGCATTACTTAGGTCATGATCAAAAGTTCGTGCATCGTTAAATAAAAATATAAAGATAAGGAGATATTTTTAATTTTATTTTATCAGATGTTGAGAATAATTGCCATGATTATTTATATCAAGTTCAATCCTTTCAAACTATTTATTAAAAGTTTTTTTAACCTCTTTTTGTAAAAAACAATTTTAGCTCTCTTGGAAACCACATGAGCTAATCATATTTCATTTGTTTTAAAATTTTAGTAGAATTTTGTTTGATCATGACCGTTACATTCTAGCATTACTAGTAATGGGATATGGATTTATTTTAGATAGATTAGTCATCAGTCATCTAATGCTAACTGGCTTATTGAAGATGAATTGTCAAAGACTATTGTTCATGGAGATAGATGTGAAGCAAAACTTTGTTTAGTATATTCACTAAATCAAATAATCCTGAATGTAGATAATGGCAAAACTGTAAATCACAAGTATTATATTGAAAATTATCTGAATCCTTTTGTGAACGAAATATAAAAACAAACGTAGGCATCAGATTCAAAATGTACAAAATTGCTTGACGATCATCGTTGACTTCATACTTATCCAATGTTATTAATTAGTTGACAGAAAAAGGCATCAATATAATGTCATATCTGCCATATTCGCCAGACCTAATACTATGTAATCTTTGTTTAAGTGATCCTATCGAACGAAGTTTAACTGATTAAATAAACGAAATATGATTAGCTCATATAGTTTTCAAGGTAGCTAAAATTTTTTTACAAAAAGAGGTTAAAAAAACTTTTAATAAATTGTTTGAAAGGATTGAACTTGACATAAATAATCATGGCAATTATTTTCAACATTTGATAAAATAAAATAAAAAATATCTCCTTATCTTTATATTTTTATTTAACGATGCACTAACTTTTGGTCAGACCTAAGTAGAAAAAACAATCGACGGCATAACATATATAGACTAGAGTAGTTAAACTAGAAGGAGCCGATCTAAAAAAAGAAAGGCTTATTCTTATTAAAGCTTCAATTTCTTTCTTTTTTGATTCCTCAGAAATTATAACCGAGGATACAAAAATTCTATATTAATTTATTTTTCCAGTATAGCGTGATAAAAATATTTGTTTCAAAATACTTGCCGAAGGCTAAAAAAAATGCTTTGCAACAGAACACATAATCAGTGATGAGAAGTGTATTTCATCGATTTGTCTTGTACTCAACACTGTATGTAGCTCAAAATGATGTATTACATTTGAATGTTGGTGTTGTATATTTTTGTACATTAAGATCAACATTAACTTTTATTAAAGGTATTATATTTGATACATTATTCGATATTGATCAAAAGTTATTACTCGATCGTGATAATCGTATTTTTCTTGATTATGATCCTGAATTATTTAAACTTATGTTAAATCAATTAAGACAATGGATTGAAAGTAATGATAATGATCAATTTTTTGAACTACCAAAAACATCGTTCTATGATCGTCAACGATTTTGAAATTTTTTATGTCATTTGAAATTTGATAAAAAAAAAATATTTCGATCTACAATTCTATGACAGTTCAAATGAACTTGTTGGAAGAATAGTTCAAGCATCGAGATCATATAACAACCAAAATAATAACTACACATATTTCTACGATTCGCAGACGTATTCCACTGGTTGTCATAGAGTACAAATAAAATTTTTAAATTCATCTAAATATAATAGATCACAGTAAAGTTATTTTCAAGTTGGCATTGCAAACTTTGAACAAAATAAAAAACAATCACAATTGTCTTATATTACTTGGCCATTCCACAAAAGATTACCATTTCCTCAAGGTGCACTTAATGAAATTGAAGGCGGCGATATTTTTGAAATTGAGATTGATTGTAATGATAAACTTGTGACAGTTACCAATCAACGAACGATGAAAAAGCAACATCAAATAGTTTCGTGTACCGTACCATTGCCAAGGAGATTTTGTATCCAATTACCAAATGATCAATCAATACCCATTCGAATAATATAGTTTAAAATAACTATTGATTTCGTACACAAACATCCGTAACTCGAAACATAATCAATATTCGATTATATTTGCTGTATATTCTATTAAAATTTTCAAGTTCTATGCGTGAATGCTTTGTTTAGTATTACACTTTATGATTTTTAGAATATTATTGAATAAAATATTTTACTGATTAAAGATCATTAAAAATTTCAAAATCTTATCGGCATAATCAAAATGATAAATCAAATTATTCTGTAACAAAATTCAACTTAAAATCGATAAATATAAAAGACTATTTTTGTTTTTGCAAATTATAATTTGCATAAAACTTTTGATTTCAATCGATTTTCATTTTTTACTTTGTTTCAGAATATAGGAAATTGGGTTTAACTCAAGAAAGAAGATTCAAGAGAACATTTAGTTATCCTAAATGACTCGATTATTCAACCATGTATTCTCCTGAAACATGAATAATTGTTCTAATGTCATTTTTTTTCATGTTATAATGCAATTTAAAAGAAAATGTGAGTAAACTCAGACACATACTATTGATTTTTTTATTCTGTCAAGAGAGACATGTTTTCGTCATTATTGACGTATAAAAAATAGAGACTTTTTTCTTCCTTCTATTGTCATTTCGCAAATAAAAATGCGACCTTTCATAAAAACAATCCGTCATTTTTAAATCACCATGTTGTGAAACATAAAAAAGTCCATAGAAAAAAATACACGTAAGTTGTCTGTAGATTAAGTAGACAGCATACATAATGAATCGATTTATTCAAACTTGCTACGATAATGGTCAATCACCTAGTTATAACGATTACATGAATTACCCTCTTGTACCGTTGACAAAAGCTCTCGAATATTTTTTATCCAAAATCGACCGACTGGATACTCGTATAAAACGTTCAGAAAATCTCTGCTATACTTCTTCGATCCATAATCTTACTAAAGATGAATCAGCCGCTGTCTACCTCTATGCAGACGAGCATGGAAAACGAAGTTTAAACAATGAACTAAATAAAGCGTTAAGATCAAAAACTCGATCCATGATAGAACCTTGGTTCAGCTATCTCAAATTATTCAATACTGCTTTGGAGAAATTACCTACCATAAGTAACAAAGTGTGGCGTGGAATGTCTATCACTATAGCTAACAATTTGAAAAAAAATGAAGATATTATTTGGGGATGTATAAGTTCGTGCTCATTTTCGATTGATATAATTAAGAATTATCTTGATGAAAAGTCTATACTTTGCTCAATCGAAGTGATAAGTGGCAAGCATATTCGTGGTTATACCGGTTATTTAAAAGAAGATGAAGTTTTATTGCTTCCGGGTACTCGTTTACGTGTTAAAAAGATCGGTTATGATTCTTCTATCCGTCAACATGTTATACATTTGGTAGAAATCGCTAATGAAAATCATAAGACATCGGCACCCATTCATACTCCTATATCTTCAACAAACAAACCATTTGAAAATGCTTCAGGTATGTATATTGTTTATTCTGAAAAATTTTTGCACATTTCCAAATAATGCAAATATTTTTATTTCACGGAGTTTTTTTTCAATATCATCGATCTGACTCGAAACAATTCGAGTTAATTGACTTCCACTATCTAACATTTATTCTATATTTTTGTTGTACATTTTCATATAAGTATTAAATAAAATATAACATGATGAAATTATATAGGTTCGACTGATTCCACAGAAAAATTTGTTTCAAAGACAAAAAAAACAGTAAATCAAGGTCTTTCCGGTACGTATCGAAATATATTAAGACTTCTTGAAAAAATTTTTATCATTTGATCTCTTTCAGATAGAGACGAGCCCGAAAGAAATAAAGTATTTTCGGTTACTACTTTTACGAACGGCGATCGTTATGAAGTAACGTACAAGAAAGGTGAGAAACAAGGTTATGGTAAATTCTATACGATCAATGGAAAGATATATGAAGGCGACTATGCTGACATCAAAGCAAAAGGGAACGGAGTTCGTATTTGGTCAAATGGTGATCGTTATGAAGGAGCTTTTACGAACGGTACGATGGATGGATATGGAAGTTTCTCCTGTGCTAATGGATATGTATATGTGGGTAAATGGATAGCTGATGAACCTTATGGTGATGGAACGAGTGATTGGCCGAATGGGAATCATTACCAAGGACACCATGAAGAAGGCAAAATCTGTGGTTATGGTGTATATTCCTCTGCGAATGGAGACAAATATGAAGGCATGTTGGCTGATGGAAAGGCGCATGGAAGAGGTTTACGTATTTGGGCAGATGGTGATCGATATGAGGGAAAATTTAAAGATGATAAAAAACATGGATATGGTATTTACAATTATGCAAATGGTGGTGAATATAGAGGACATTGGGCCAATGATGAAATGGATGGTGCAGGAATATTTAAATGGCCTAGTGGAAATCAATATGACGGATCATTCAAAAATGGAAAAAGACATGGTATAGGTAAGTTAACCTTTGCTGATGGTCGAATCGAAGATGGTACTTGGGAAAATGACAAATTTATTGGTTAGATTGCATTAATAACGCTATCGACTCCATTACAACTTCATGATAATCGTATATAATCGTCAATTGTTGTCTTCCACAAGTGATACCATGAACATCTTTTTTTCTATTCTTTTTAGTATTCATATGGCACATTAACATTTTCATTTAAGAAAAAAAAGTTTTTAAAATATATCAACTGAAAAATTCATTAGACAAAAAGATCGGATTTAAAATTGTCTTTGATGTGCTAAAATCGAAGTTGTTTATTAATTAAGAAAAACAAAAACTACAATATTCAAACACTCTTATTTTCCATTAAAAAACAAAAGAAACATACATTAATGATTATTTACTATTTCTTTCATTCAAATAAAACATTAGATGAATGCTTTGGTTAAATATTTTTTATTGATTAGAATGCTCAAGAAAGTTCACCTTTCGTAAATGTTATTGCAGTCTCGGAAGTATTAAAATACGAAATATAATGTAGCTACTGTTGCTAATCATAGAGAGATTTTTTTAACATTAGAACGAGACATTATTGATATACGGTCTGCGATCGTATATCAATAATGTCTGTCACACAGCTTGTGGAAAATGGATACAAATGTCTGTCTGATATACTTATTTATGAAGATCTTCATACTACAGTCAATATTTGATATTTCTTACTAATATGTCGGTATCTGTCCTGAAGATATCACTGTAAGAACTATAGAAACACAATACAGCCATTGTCATTTCATTATACAATAAAAATATCGTAACCAACGTTCAATATCGTACTTTTTGAGTTTTGACGACTAAGGATTAATTTCCAGTTTAACGGTTTACTCAATAGTTTGCAATATGAAATCAACATATTTTTCTTTATATTGTAAATTGTCAAATAGTCGACTTATAGTTTGATATATATATATATATATATATATACATGTACACCTAATGCATCTTTACACAACATTGAAAAGTTTGTTTCACTTTATTTCTGTATGTTCTTGATGAAAATATCCAGTTATTCATTCTGCTAACATGTTTTTTAACGGAGTAAGATGAAGTAGGAGTAAGCATGTGCGTTTTTTTTTCTCTGAAAGTAAAAAAAGATTTCACCGTTTCTGTTGTTGTCTGATGAAAAAAAAGGAATTTTTCTCTTGTCGCACGCCGTATAAAAGAATACGAGTAAATTGGAAAAAACCAATATCTTTTTTTAAATATTATTACATCGAACAACACATACAACATTATATCTAAAAAGATGTTTTTTGTCATTATTATAATTGGATATTAAACAAAAAAAAATGGATCGATTTTTCCGTTTTGAATACAATGATAAAGACCTCAAACCTATCGTTGATTATAAAAATCATCAAGTTTTATCATTAGACTTAGTTCTTAAACCTGTTTTGCCTTATATCGATCAATTGGAGTATTATATGACAAGAGCGAAGCACTTTTGTAATTATCCTTCGAAGCATGGTCTTACTAAAGATGGATCAGCCGCTGTATATCTCTATACAGATGGTTGAGGAGATCAAACATTACAAACTAGAGATGAAAACAAATTAAAACCTTGGTTTGATTTCCTTCAATCA